AACAATGGTTCTTTTGGGTAACATCGTTAGAATTTTAATCTAAAATAAAAGGTTTAATTAACGGGGCAAATAAGGGATAAAAGTTCTAACGGATTTACTCAAAAGATATATTACTTCACATTATAACAAGTATAGGGACCAATGCTCCAACTTTCTCTACATAATAATGGTATGGTTTTAGTTTATAATTAACGTCGTAGTATACCGTTATAAGATTGCATGTTATGTGTGAACTGTGAACATGGTTACATTAAACACTGTTCGATTAAAGGGTACCAATATACTCTTGTTCTTTTAAAGTTACCGTAGACTAATCATTTATTGATTCTATAATTATCATTAGTTGGTAGATATCGATGTGTTTATATATTTAAAAGAGACCTAAACTTGTTGTTTTTATACATCAGTTGGTTAAGAAAGTATATGAGGTCTGGTGTTCGAATTCCTTCTTTGTAGTTTAAATGTATCTAGTGTAAATTATCCTATCATTTGTCAAAAAAATTTATAAAAAAAAAAAGTGCAAGGCACACGCCAACCAGTGTTTAGTTTCAGAAATAGTCAGTTTAAGAAATAGTGTAGTACCTGTACTCAGCTTTAAAAATAGTTATTTTAAGAATAGTTAGTGTTCAGTTGAAGAAATAGGAATAATACCAACGTTCAATTTAAGAAATAGTAATAGTATATGTGTTCATTTTTCAGAAATAGTCGATTTTCATTTTAAGAAATAGTGTTATTCCCATGTTCAGTTTCGGAAGTAATCGGTTTAAAAAATAGTCAGTGCTCAATTTAAGAAAAAGTAAAGGAGAGGAGAGTGTGTGTGTGTGTATGATGGACACGCGGGGTCCCGTGCGTCAAGTTTTTATTACTTTTTTATTTTATTTTTTATTATATTAAACTTGTGTCCATTTCATTAAAATTTAAGTCATTTTCATTAAAGTTTAAGCAATTTTCATTAAATAAAGTTAGTAGATAGTTTGGTTAATAAAAAGTTTGGAAAACCTTTTTTTTATGAAAGCTCCCATGATCAAATTTTTTAAGAGATAGCTTGTCAACATACTCATGCATGATTTGAGCAATATAAAGGTAGCTATAGCATGCACACACAATATTTGGATGTTCAATTCATATTATTATTCTTTCTTAAGAGAAATATTAAAGAGACCCTCTTAAAGTGGGATTTTCGAGAGTATTCCATCAGTTTTTGGCGACTTTCACTTTCAACTTAATTCACCAACTCCGTGCCCTTTACACCTAATCATTCCTAAGAACAGTTGCCACAGCCCCCGTGCGCCTCCCCCCTTCCCCCTGGCGGCCATCTTACCACTGCTGCTAGCATGGAGTTAGCCGGGGCTTCTTCATCGAGTCCGGTCATGATCGCACACTCGACGAAAGAGCTTTACAAGCGCCATTGCCCTTCTGCACTCACTCATCTCATGTTTTTTTGCACAATGTTCTATAAAATTGGCACGAAAAAATGACGTTAAACTATATGAGGTGTCAGAGAGTCTATGAAATGTCCTACTTTTGAGAGAGTCTCTTTAATTAGCATTTCTCTTCTTGTTAATTGAACTTTATCAAGTAAACTGATCCTAAGAATGATATCACTGTATAACTGAAATGAAATCAGTGATGACCATATGGTAGAAATACGAAAGAAGGACAACATATTCTAACAGACCCCTGCTTTTATACGTCAATACTAAAATTTATCCTGTTGATGGCCAATTTGGATAGCTAAAGAGATTCTCGTTGGATATTGACTATTCGTAGAAAAATCGCATAAGGTTAGAATATCATTGGAAAATTTGGCATTTGGCGTTTGGTCTTCAATAAATGAGGACATTTCACCATGCTACGTACGTAGTACCCTTAAACCCATGGTAAAGCAAGAAACAAGAGATAGTTAATGACTTAATCATTTGCCATCAAAATTAAATGTCTCGTGTAAAGGTTGGTCCAAAGATATATTTACATTATTGTTAGAATTATTTTTAAGAGACTTGTAGCTCAGTTAAATAAGCACATTTTTAATGTATTTAGAGGTCTCGAGTTCGATTACTCCATCCATTATCACATGTATAAAATAGAAACTGCTAGGATTAGGCCAAATTTTGTGGCTTATCTTATAACTTTGTGTCATCTTGTTTCACAAAGGAATACTCCTGTACCAGCTAGGGTTTCTTACCCGTATATTAAAAAAGCTTATGGGCATTGTAAAAACTCTCAACAAGATCAATGATACTCAAATATCAATATTCCGTTGGATACGGCAGTGATGACATTGATTTTACATACATTCTAGCAGTTTTGCCAGTTTGCAACATTTCTTTTCTTTTCATCAGCTTTCCCTTTCTAATAGTTCTTTGCTATATTAATCATGAATTCAATCACTTCAAAGCAATCTGTTTGCTTCTCGCACATTAGATTTATATAATTAGCTTTAAAGATAAGAGTTTTTTTTTTTTTTGACAAACGATAGCCTCAAAAAGCGACCGTTTTCGCTATCTCTATCCATTTATATACTTATCCACACTAATGACCGGAGCAATCTAGCGAAGATCACAAAAAGCGACCGTTTTCGCTACCTAGGATCTATCTTGCAAGAGAACGGAGAATTAGATGGAGATCTCAACCATAGAATACGAGCTGGATGGATGAAGTGTAAGAGTGCATCCGGCGTGTTGTGTGACCGTCGTAGGCCACTGAAACTCAAGGGAAAATTTTATAGGACGGCAATAAGGCCAGCGATGTTGTATGGCACAGAATGTTGGGCGGTGAAGCATCAACACGTACACAAAATGGGTGTAGCGGAGATGAGGATGCTTCGTGGGATGTGTGGGCACACGAGAAAGGATAAGATTGGGAATGAGGATATCCGAGGTAAAGTAGGAGTAGCCGAAATTGTAGGAAAGATGAGAGAAAATCGGCTCCGATGATTTGGACATGTGCAAAGAAGGCCGACTGACGCTCCGGTTCGAAGATGTGACTACGGGACAGAGGTTCAGGGCCAAAGGGGTAGAGGAAGACCTAGGAAAACTTTGGAAGAGACTCTAAGAAAAGACTTAGAGTACTTGGATCTAACGGAGGACATGACACAAAACCGAGCGCAATGGCGTTCTAGGATTCATATAGCCGACCCCACTTAGTGGGAAAAGGCTTTGTTGTTGTTGTTGTTGAAACGATAGCCTCAAAGATAAGAGTTTGGAAGTTCTTAGGCGTAGAAAAGAAACAAATCGATCTAGTTCTACACTCGGTATACAAGCGTTCGACTTAAAATCAGACGCAATTTTCTCAGATTCATGTCTACAAGCACTTCATATTATACTAATATCTATAACATGTACATTATATTATAAATGAGTAATATTAAAAGGGTAATTCTAAGTGGAGCTAGCATTACTTGGCTCCACAAAGATTGTGGAGCAACTTCTTATCAAAATAGTTTGTGGTCGATTGAGCAAATTTCGTGCTTGATTGAGCAAATTTCATGCTTAGTTTGTAGCAAATGAATAGACCGTTTGTCATAATTTTACCGATTTCGACCATCTGTTTTTATACAATTTAATGACTAAACGATCTTATATTTTTATAGAAATACTCTTTACATAATAACTTATAAATATGAATAATTTCAAATTTATAAACATGAAATTTGCAAACCGGCTACAAACTACTTTTGAGGAGTACTTCAAAACCTTTAGCCCAGTTTTGTTCTTGACTATGGGATGCAACCTGTATGGACAGAGAAGTAAAGGTGGGATATTAGGTAAAGCCAGCAACGTGTCATAGATTATTCTAAATTTAAAATCTAAACAAAAAGCGGGTTAAGCACAAATCTCTGTTGGTGAAGCAAAATAGTAATTATAATGAATTTTAGTAATAAAATATGTGTGAAGGGTATGGAAAAAGGAAAAAGAAAGATATAAAGATTAAAGAGGAAGTGATGGTGCAAAAAGAAAAAGATGATAAAATTATGGTATTTTCTCCCTTTTCTCTTTTAGGTCACTTTATATATTTTTATTTAAAAAGGAAATGAAAGTAAGGAGACGGATGAAGGAATCCAAGTCTTCCAAGCACTCCCAGACAAAGTGAGCTTCAGAGAAGAGAAAAGCAAAGTTTGCTTTACGACCCAGAAAAGGAGATTTCAAACACCGTAAGGCCTAGCTTAGGAAATTGCGTGGTTATTAACCCAAACCACAGACGAACCCTATTTGCTCTCTCTCTTGGTCTCACTCCTTCGTTTCTCTCTCCTGGTTGGCTTGGTGCCTATATTTAGAGGGCAATAGATGGGGGTGCAACTCCAACCCCACATTCTTCCTCCTTTCACTCTGAAAATCCCATACACAAGAAAAGAAAAAAAAAAAAAAACCCACAAAATATTAGGCTCTACCCCTTTAAATACCCAAGTTTAGCCCTCTGGTTTGCTTGTTTTATACCAATTCAAATGGGTCTTCCTCTATGCCTGTGGGGCTTTGAAACTCCATTTTGATTATGACCCAGTTCCCATCATTATCCCATTTTTCGCTCTCCCCCCTTCTCTCTCTCCTAAATATAAGCCTCTCTCTGTCTTTCTCTCTCTCTCTCTCTCTCTCTCTCTCTCTCTCTCTCTCTCTCTCTCCCCCCACTACTGCAGCCTCTCCTTGTCTTACCCTCTATAGCCATGGCAAAGCTTCCCCGGTCTAGCTTTACCTACAAAATCTTATTCATTCCAAATCCATGCATAATTTGCTCTCCCTCAAAAACCCATGTTACAAAAAAGAAAAAAAAACACTCATTTTTATAGCATACGCATGCATACCTGCTCATATTCATGGAGAGTATTAGGATGTTGGGTTAGCATTAGATTAGGTTTAGGGTTGAATATTTTCTACAAACCCTAGCTGGTAAATATGTAAGAACATATATACCTCATCAATTGATCCATGTAGGTTTGTTAATTAGTCGTATATATGTAACTAGCTAGAGTGATTCACGCATACATACATATACATGTATATATATATGTGCCTGGCTCCCTGTATGCCATTTGCAGAGTTCCACCGAACATCGATGGCCTCCGTGGATGGCGTATGAGGAGCCATGCATATAAAACCCATGTCCATGGCTGTGTCTCTTCATCTTGTTCTATTTCTTCTTCCTCATTAATTTTGCAGATAGTTTCAAAGCTTTTGTGTAATGTTTTATTTTCATTTCAAGGATTTTAGCTAGAACTAGCTAGATAGGGATGTTATGGTCATGTTGGAGTATTTGTAATATTATTCCACAGGGGCAGCACCGTAATTTAGAAAGTATGGAGGCAGATGTTTCTGATCAGAAAAGGTACTTTATCTTCTTCTTTCTCTCGTTCTTCTCCTTCATGTGGATGGTTTAGGGTTTTTTTCACCATGGATGTGATGAGATGAGATGCTTCTACTTTTGCAGAGAGAATTATTTTGCTTTTCTGAAATATAGATTTGTCATTTTACTGGTTGTCACATGTATTTTCCATGAGACTTTAATCATTTCACCATACACATGTAACGAGGGGCACTGGAAACCAACAAACTGTGGCAAAAGCTTTGGCCCAAATTACGGTAAAATTAGAAGCTGGTTCTGGTTAAAAAGAAGGTCGAAACCTGACACAACATGGAAGTTACAACTTACTTTCAATGTTGCCCATCAGATCAGATCAGATTACTCTCATGAGCCGTGACACATGACACCAAAATCCATCCATCTTGTTCCACGCTTGTCTCATGGACATTTCTCATGACCTCTCTGGTTAATAAACTCAAGGGAGCTATATAATTTGTTTTTTTTATTTGTTTTCTCTGTGTTTTGTCTTTTAATTCGCTTAAGTTTTGTTATCACAAGAGATCCATGAAGTATTAGATGATTATTATGTAATTTCAAAGCTTAAACATTCTTTAAACAATAAGAAACTCTTTTTTTTAATTAATCGTGCAGATAAGTCCCATTAATCCAATCTAGTTATCTATTGTTGAATAGATCATATGGTTTGTCTAACCATTCGGACAAATTACATTTTAATTTAGATTTATAAATCTAATTCAAATTTAGGGTTTACTAAATTAAGTTATGGTCTTGGCGATTAGATTGCATGACATTGTCCATTATCATTTTTCTTTCTCGACAAAGAAAAAACAAGATTTTCAGGACAACGAGAGATTTCAGATCTTTGAGTTTTGAGACCACAATATCAAATGAGTTCAGATTAAAGAAACCCCAAAAAAAAAAAAAAGAATAAAAAGGTAAAAGAAACCAAAATATTAAAAAAGCTTTGCCTGATCAATAGTCCCTTTTCCTTCGAAAGAGGGATGGCGCTACACACATTTTAGACCCGGACAAGGAGGTTAATCTGACATACTTCTCTACTAAAAATATATATTAAATAGAGATGTGATAAATTTTCTTTGAGAGTTATTGGATTTAAAGGCTCTAAGTAGGGCAGCATTCACTAAAGAAAATGCTAACATTAGCCATTCAATAATATGGAGTAATTTTAGATTTTTTGATTATATAGATAAGATTTTCCTAATTCCCAGACATATGATCACAATAATAATATTCCTTGTCGTGCAGCATGCGCACAGCTAACTAGTGGATCAGTGAGCACATCTTCCCATCTGTGCTATACAACGAACGAACGTATAGAGAAGAGAAAAGAAAAGAATTTAAGTTTAAGCTCATCTGCGTTGTATGTATCTAGGTCTAGCTAATCTCTCTCTCTCTCTCTCTCTCTCTCTCTCTAAAGTTGTAAACGCAAATTAAGAGTCACACATGACACAAACAAACGTACGACTGGCGAGGGCTTGAAGAAGAAAAGTATGTATGTATGGATTCCAGGAAAAGCAAAAGTGTTTTTTTGCAGCAGAGAGGATTATCATCATGCTATTAGGAATCTCATACATACATACATACTACAAGCACAAAAAAGACTGGACCACCTCTCTCTCCCTCCCCTTCTCTCTCTCTCTCTCTCTCTCTCTCTCTCTCTCTGTCTCTCTGTGAATATATATTTTATATATCTTTTCACCAATTGGCTAGCAGGGAATATATAGCATACGGTCAAAGCAGGTCAAGAAGAAAAAGGACATTTCGTCAGGCAAAGAGATGGACCACCTTGATGAGCTTCCCTCCTGGGAAACGCAAAACCAAAACCAATTACTGGGGATTTTTGGAAATTGGATTCCCATATATTTAAATTTTCAATTTAAGTGCATGCATGCCGTTGCCATACACACAACCAACATTCTCCTGGGATTGGCCAGCCTAGAGGCACAACGTCTTAATTAGCTTAAATTGTGAAAATAAAATTGTAAAAGTATACTTATATATTATTATGAATCTAGGAATAATGATATAGATGTAGGTATGTACATCATGTAGAAAAAAAATTTCATTGTGCCCGAAATACAGATGCATGGTACACCACATGTCATTATATAATTTGAGAGAAGTTTTATTTTTAAAGTTGCTAATTTTTTAACAGAAGTATCTCACCACTTGTATAATGACACGTGTTGTATCACCTCGTGTTCCAAACACACTGAAATATCTTCATCATGCACTGGCTAGTGGGGACCTACATAGCTACCTTCTGGGTTGTATATGTGTAGACATTGTACACTCGAACTCAGGAATAAGATTCTTTCCCAACTTTTTTTTTACAGGAACCATAGGGTGGTATTCCATTAATTAGTGTCATTTGGTATATTGTTCTGGTGACCAATAGTTTGATCTGAAGTGAATTTGTACAATTAAACAAACAAGAGTAAACCCCTAAAAGACTGCAACAAACACAAACACACAATCCCCAAGCGCACAATTGTCACCAATATTGTCGGTCACAATTAACAATAGACGCAACAGAGTTATACTGACAACGACATCGATTATCGCTGAAGAACGGGATCACATAAAATCATTGCAGTAGAGCAAGATGTACATAACTCATAATCCAAAGGCGAAGACCAATTCGGCCATCACAACATCGCGACCACAGGTCCACAGTACTCGCAAGGCGAGGCAAAAACAATTTACACTACTTCGGAGAGGGAACCACTAGTCAACTCATCTCAGTGGAGGACAACTATACACTAACTTCGGATTTATCACAGTTTTGCTCTTTTTTTCTTTCTTGGGGGTCAATGAATGATCTTTTTATGGAATTAGTGACCAAACTCCAATCAATTGCATTGGTATGAAAGAGAATCCAAGAAGTACTGGATTCTTTTTTCGGATAGGCCCTGAAAGGAGAAGAAAGGTTGGAACGTCAACAGGCATATATTATTGAATTTAATTCACTAGACTTGATAGTACCCATTTTTAGATTGTCCAATGCCAAAGTCACTGAATGGGTAATTAGTCGCCAATCCCTAAAGCAGACTATGTAATGTGCTTTATTTGCTAGATTACGGGTGAGCATTTTATAATTAGTCTAAATTTATATCAAGGTTCATGATCATGCCCATAAACCAGCAAAACCCTATATTTTTATGAACTGGTCATTTTTTTTTTCACGGCAATTGAGAAACAAGACATATATATATGGCCCCCAACAACACATATCCATATAAGATTACATGTTCTCTTAGATTGATATTGTCTCTCAATATCTATACGCGTTTATATTATCCGATTATAAATTTGGATCACTGAAAATTAGCCTGCTTGTGTGTCATTTTTTTAATCGAGTGTGGCATAAATTCAAAATCTATATAATATAAACATTAACAAAATTAAACAATTCGTGCTTATTAAATGAGATATAGAGAGAAGAGTGGAGAGAAAAAGCTTTGATATCTCTCTCTCTCTCTCTCTCTCTCTCTCTCTCTCTGTGAACTTATTGATTGGATGGCTCTGCAAAAACCCTATTACATCATGTTACAAATGGGAGATTATATTCTGTTAGATTCTTCGTGCCTGTATATGCAACTGCACCACAAGTAGTCGTTGCTAGGCTTGTAACGATCTATACAGCACATTACAAGGGAAAAATGTAATAGTGGAGAAAAATGGTGGGATGAGTTTAAAAGAAATGTATAAAGAAAGTTCGACATACAAAAATGAAAACTAAAGAATAAAAATAAAAAGTTATTTTAACTTGTTTTTATGTTCAAAAATTTTGTTTTCATTCATTCATCGTTATTTCTTTCTCTTTTCCATCATCCGCATCTTCATATCTTAGGCATCAAAATACAAAATAAAATGATTATCAAACAAGCCTTTAAGCGCTTAAGCCTACAGTTAATTCAAATTTCTAATTTTTTTTGTAATAAAGATAGATTTGGGGGCTTTGCATGCTGGCTTTGATGCTAAGCGGTGAGCTTCTCTCAGCCCTTTGGGCTATTTTGAGGTCCATATTATCAGTAATGACTCCTGGCTCGCCTATCTCCACGTTATTAACGTTGATCTCATTCATCGTCATCAGCTTAATGGCGGTAGACATGCGGGGTCGGAGGCTGGATTTTTCTTGTACACAAAGCAGACCCACCTTTAGGAATTGGACGGCTTCTTTTTCTGAAATGTTTCCGTCAAGTTCGAGAGAAGAGTCCACTAGATCTACAAGCTTCTTTCCCTTGTACATTTCCCATGCCTGCATGCATCACCATCAGGTCCATGCAGTCTCACTATTAATTCAGGTTTGGTAATATTTCATATAGGTTAATTAGGATCCAAATTTGATGCCAGTTTCTTTTTTGGGTATTACGTGTACTTATTAATTTGTGATTTGAAATGTGCTTACCAAACCAATTTATCACATGCATGCATCTATACACACATACATACATATATATATATGTGTGTGTGTGTGTGTGTGTGTGTAACTTTCTTGTCGGGTGACTAGAGTTAATTATATGAATAATGTTAGGGAAATAAAAAAATTAAGCTAAATTTGTAAATCAAATGATGTGTCACAAATAAGAAATCTAAATTTGTAAATCAAATGATGTGTCACAAATAAGAAATAAACACGTTAATCAACATTTAAGTAATAATCCAATAATTAACATCCACATCATTTGGTTTATAAAATTTGGTTTAAAAATTTAATCTTCCTAGCATTAGCCAATTTGTTATACATTAAGGTCTTGTACGTAACTCAAATAGTTAAAAACATTGACTTATGCACAATATATAAGGGAAAAATTAGTATCCGGTTCTTAGTTACTAATGTTTATTGACTGAAACCTTATTAGTTTTCAGATTTTTATCCAAGTCCTTAGCATTAATGTAATAATGAATTTACATGTCAGTTACATAATTTTTTAAAATAAAAATTAATAATTGATTTAGGATTTTAATATTCACACGTTTATTAAACTCCTAAATAATTTTTAATCCAAAACATTTCCAAAATAAATAAAAAATTAGAATAAGTTTGTACCCATTAGCTTTATAAAAAATGTTTTCAAATTTTTAATCTTAAAATGTACCCATTCTTAAATATACCAATTTGTTATATGTAAAATGTACCATTTTTAAACTTATATGGGTACATTCTTTTTCTTTTATTTGAGAATGTATTCATGTCAAGTTTTATCGAAGAAATTTACTAATGTTATTAAGCCTAGTATCTTTATTTTATTTTATTTTTTTTTTAATAGTTTTGAAGAATGTACCCATGTTTTGGTACAATAATTTTTTTGTTAATTTTGATGAATGTACCCATGTTTACACACACACACACACACAATAGTATAACTTATATTTTAATATTTTTAATCCCACAAATTATGGGTTTTTATTTAAAATCTCATTAACATAAACAACTATAAATTTTAATTTTTAATTAAAAAAATATAGTAACATAAATAGAAATAAATTATCATATTAATTTCAGGGACTTAGATCAAAAATTGAAAACCAACAAGGTTTCAGTAAAAGAATATTAATAGATAGGGACTGCATCAAAAGTCTCACATATATATATAAATCAAGGTTCGGTTCTAGAATAAGTGTTTTAAAGCTTATTTATGCATAATCATTTTAAATAAGCGTTGGACCCTTGGGCTACTGGTGCGAAGAAGACCTTTCAGAATGGTGTACCAATTATTTCATGAAGTGGGGAAATTTTTAATTGTGACGGGAATACAAATAGTATACCACGTGTTTTAATAGGAATGGTGGGAAATTTTATTTTTTTATGTTATTAACTTTTTAGCACACATATCCTACCATTTATTTAATGACACGTGGTGTACCACCCCGTATACCAGTCACACTGAAAAATCTCTCCATGAAATGGGTGAGGATTTAATTTTCTTTACAAAACTACTCTTGGTCTACTCAATCCATTCATCGATACAAGGTTTTATGATAAATCCTGGATAATGTGTAAAGAATTTGTTGATGCACAAAATCAGCGAAGACTTTGGTACAACAGAAAGTGTCAGGTTTTATGACCTTCGCTTGGTTGCTTCGGTCACTAGTGAGGATAAGTACGTAAATGAATAGAGACAGAGAAGCAAACACAGGATGTACGTGGTTCACCCAGATTGGCTACGTCCACGGAGTAGAGGAGTTCTTATTAGTAGTGAAGGGCTTACACAAGTACAAAGGATCAAGCTCTCAATTTAGTGAGTTCTTGTGAATGATTTCACACAAAATGGCATTAGGCAATATTGTGGGGGAATGACCCCTATTTATAGAAAAACTTGTAGCTTTGTCACATTGACATGTGTCATGTTATGATTGGTTCTTGATGTTGACACGTGCTGCGCTCTGATTGGCTTCTAATCTTGACACGTGTCGAGTAGTGATTGGCCTCCTGGTCGGAGGGGAACTCTTCTGGGTCCTTGACAGTATAGCGTTGGCCGGTGCTCGGTAGTTTCGGGATTGGTCAAGTATGGTACAAACAGTGCTCCCCTAAGTTCCCGAGTGAGGGAAACTCCTCGGTTGGGGACTTGCAAGATCCAATCCCTTGAGTAATCACGAAACTTCTAAGTACCGAAGTGTGGTCTGATCTTCATCTGCCCTTCTCTGGAAGTACCTTTCCTCCATCCGGGAATGGTGTACTTAGCTGATGTTGACGCACAAGGTAATGTATCAATTTCACTTGAAGCTTAGTTGTAGTTTCGGGCTTAGTCAAGTGTGATACGAACCCTATAGTAGGAGTCCCCCAAGTCGCCGAGCTAGGAGATCTGCCGAAAGAGGGTGACAGACAAGGTAAGCAGTCAAACTTCCAAGTAAGCAACCCAGGATCAGAGGTTTGACGTCGGCTTCCGGTTGATTGTTCTCATTCTCCTTGTCTCTCATTCAACTGCCAGGATAAGGAGAAGCAAATGGATAAGAGATGATATGAGATACTTTTGCTTTTGAAGAAGTAACTTTCCACAGGCTTATTCTTGAACTGTGCTGGAGGGTTTTCTGGTGCCCTTCAGAGTATAAGGCCGATTCAAAAATTTGAGGGTCAAAACAAGTCCATCAAATCTAGAGTACGTTCGACCTTGATGATATGGGATACTTTTGCTGTTGACGGAATAATGAATTGTGGTATGGAAAGGTGTCGTGCTGTAGTGATCTGTTTCAGCTCACCGTTGAACCTTCTGCTTCAATCTTTTGCATGGCAGAAGTGGTGTGCAACCTTTGCATTTAAATGGTCCTTCAGAACATTCCTTCATAGTGACTCATCCACGCTTGGCAGCTTCAGTGTAAAGAGCCAATATCTGATCAACTGTCATGAGGTATTTGCCGGTGGAATTCGTGACCTTGACAGCAGTTGAGGATGAGTACTCGAGAGCAATGCTAAGTAAGCAACCAGGCAAAGGCTCCAGGCAGTCAGTTCCAAATTGGAGGTTTTGATTTCAGGTTCCGACTGACTGCTCTCTTTCTCCTTGTCCTGCAGGTGTGGACAAGGACAAAGACAAAGACAGGGAGAAAGCATGATATGTGATACTCTTGCTTTCGACCCTGATGATATGAGATACTCTTGTTCTTGGTGTGGCTTATTTGCTGAGGTATTATCGGGGGGAAATAAAGCTGAGTATTTCGAGAGGTTATGTTGAGGGTGCCTCTTCGAATGCGAGAAAGGGTTGAGCATTTTTGCAGGTTTGCCTGTCCGTTGAGGAGGGAGGTCAATGTATATATAGGGATTTCCCAATAACAAGTAGTAATGCTATTCTTTTACCCTTCTTGGTCACATCAATGTAGTGGGAGCTGCCAGCTTCACGTGTTTTAATTTTGTCAGAGCACTTTGAAAAAGTGGTATGTGGTATCTGGAAAGCTGATGTTACGTGTGAAGATTACAGACAAGCTTTATCTAAGGAATTCTGGCTCTCGAAGTTCTGAGAGTTGTGCCTCTTCGGTTTTCGAACAAGCAATCCCGTCGAGGATCTGACTCTCGAGATTTGGAAAGCGGTGCTACTCCGGTTTTTGAGAAAGTAATTATGTTGGGAGTCTTTTTCTCGAATGTGAGTAAAGGTTGGACGTTCTTGCCAACCTGTCTTGCCGCAAAACACGGAGGTCGACACACATAGGGACTTTCCAGTTGTCAAGCAGTGGTGCTGTTCCTTTACCCTTATGGGTAATAGTAGGGTAGCTGGAACTTCGAAATTCTCGTGCCTAAACTTTGTCAGAGATCTTTGACAAAGTTATATGTGGTACCGAGGTGTTGATGGTGCATATGGAGAGCGGTGATTGAACAGTAAGATTCACGTGCTTTCTACTTCACCAGAAATCTTCGACAGATTGCCCGTAATTTCCGCAAAGCTGAGTGTGCATGTGACAGGTGCTGACGAGGCTGAAAAAGCAGGTGCTTCTTCGATTTCTGAGATCAGCCCTCGTGGTCTCTGAGCAGCCCATCTTTTGAGAAAGCAAACGCCTCTTCGATTTCTGAGATCGGCCCTCTCGTGGTCTCTGAGCAGCCCAGCTTTTGAGAAAGCAAACGCCTCTTCGATTTCTGAAGCTCCGTCGAGTGCAGATTTTTATAGAGGCTGACATTAAGTTCCACAGCACACTTGAATCTCTACCAGTAGAAGCTCATTTCTTGCACTTCTAAGATCTTGATTTGTCTGACCTCTTCCTTCTTCAACACATTTGAAAATGTCTGGACCCTCCGACCGTCGTTTTGACTTGAACCTTGGAGAAGAGACAGCCACGCCTTCTCCAGACAACATATGGCGCCCATCCTTCATATCCCCTACTGGTCCTCTTACCGTTGGGGATTCTGTGATGAAGAATGATATGACCGCTGCAGTGGTGGCCAGGAACCTTCTCACTCCCAAAGATAACAGACTACTTTCCAAACGGTCTGATGAGTTGGCTGTTAAGGACTCTCTGGCTCTTAGTGTTCAGTGTGCAGGTTCTGTGTCTAATATGGCCCAACGCCTATTTGCTAGAACCCGCCAAGTTGAATCATTGGCTGCTGAAGTGATGAGTCTCAAACAGGAGATTAGAGGGCTCAAGCATGAGAATAAGCAGTTGCACCGGCTCGCCCATGACTATGCTACAAACATGAAGAGGAAGCTTGACCAGATGAAGGAATCTGATGGTAAGGTTTTACTTGATCATCAGCGGTTTGTGGGTTTGTTCCAAAGGCATTTATTGCCTTCGTCCTCTGGGGCTGTACCTGGTAATGAAGCTTCAAATGATGAA